TTCAGCAGAGTTCTGGCATTTTTGTTTATACTGTTTTGTGACACTTTGTTCTTTCTTTACAGTTCAATTAAAAGCAGACTGTAACAAGGGATATGTCACAGTTAAGCAGGTATGTTTTTAAATGGGTGTACAATATTTCTGATACTTACTGGGATGGTTGTTGTACTTAAACTCCAGAAAGCTGCAAGTGATTATTCTGATCACTGGGTCTGAAAGGCCTGAAGCTGTTTTATGACCAAGGACAGCACAGTGATTGGTCCTCTTAAGGGATTTCTCTCTTTTTTTTTTTTTTTTTCCTTCTTTTGTATACCTTAATGGAAAGACTGCACTACTTCCAGATATGGTCCAGTCTCAGACAGCCAGACTTGCAGCATCAGAGAACGCTGCTGTGAATCCTCAACCTGTTCTTGCAGGCACGATGTTTGGGAGACTTTGGAGTTCTTCCCCTAAACTTGCTGATCAGCTTCCTGAGCCTTAAACTTCTAAAGCTGAGGCAGCCCTTCATTTAAGGTCAAATTAGTTCTTGTGTTAATGGGACTGGGCAGTTGTGGAAGGTTTTTGTTTTGATGGCTGGTAGAGCCAAAGGTGTGGTCACCCACCTCTGGGAAGGGATGGGATGTGGGGCAACACTGAAGGCATTCTAATGTTACTAACTGGATGGATGTAGGCCTACTCCCTCACACTTACGAGGATCAGTATCCCAGAGATAATATGAAGAGAAAATTCTCTGTTGTCAGGGCCTAAGGCACATATATGTGCCTGCAGCATCTGCATATGTGGACAACACATCAACATGTTCTGCCTACTGAGGAGTAACATCTGTCAAAACATCCCTGGAGCTCAGTAAGCACGGGGACCCCACTGGTATCTGGTGAATCCAGGAAAGATCTCTCAGACAGTTTTTCACAGAAGTCAGTCTTAGCCACAATTTGAAGACCATGTTACTGAAATCTCTGGTCTGGGAATACTTTCTGGCAGTGGGTGCTAGCATGTGTTTGCTGCTTGCTCTAGAGTTGCTTCCCAGGTGATTTGTGTGTGGCACAGGATTCCAGTGATGAATTGTTCGATAGCATATTGGCCCAGGGAGTGTGAAGTGTACTTGACTTGAGTGAAACTGCGGAACCGTAGACTGATGAGATTCTGACTGGAGTCAGGTGGGTGCTTCATCGCAGTGAACACCAAGTGATGACAGGCACAGTTACTATCATGTGAACCAGGCAGGTATCACAGTTGCAAAGCTAAAGAAACATTCTGTGACAGAGTTTATCAGTCACAGGAAAGACCTGGTTTCCTAAAGCTTGTTTCATGCATAAAAATTAACCAGAAGCATTTTGCTGAACTCCCAGCTTCCCTAGGAAGACCCTCATGATCAGGCAAAATCTGTCTATCAAGCAGTCACTGTATGTTGTCCACGCCACTTTGTGTTATCAGTTATGCCTGAGACAGAGGAAAATATATTGCTTTTCAATTATCAGCTAAACTTTAGGTAACTTCTCAGTCTTTAAAATGCTGTTTGGAGGGAAATGTTATTTTAAAGTTGCGTAGAGCTGTAAACTGATGCAATGAGAGAGGCAGGTAAAAATTTGACCTTGCTATCCTCATATCCTGCTAGAAGAGAAGAAATAACAGACTTGGTTTTGTGGAAGTGTAATATGCAAAATGAAAATAAAAGCATTAAAATACAGATGGGCTGGCCATGGAGAGATGTCTCCATCATTGGACTTCTCTGATCCTCTAGAATGGGCCAGTGTGGGGAGGGGGAGCAGGGAATATAAATCACATTTGCTTTCCAGGATAGATATTCCAGGACAATGGAGTGGTGGTTGACGATTCCAGTTACAACATCATTTCCTATCTTTTTTGTCATTTTTCTTCCAACCAAAGATAGGAGTCAACCCAACTAGTGTTGACCTTGTGAATATAGGCAAGGATGAAGAGGTGAAAATGAAGCCAGGCCAAGTTCTGCATATTGTGAATAAACTTTACCCCTACACGGTGCAATTTGCTGAAGAGTCAGGGAAAACTGTTTCAGAAGCAGAAGAGACAACACAAACTGACAAGACACCCCATGAGGACTGCGAGAATGATGATTTAGACCTTGTGCCTAGAAAAACAATGAAGATGGATGTGGTGGATACACAAGGCAGTTCTGCAAATCCCAAGCTAAGCAATACTGCTGTAGCTCTTCATGAAGGAACTTCAAGCAAAAAGGCAAGTGTACTGGTATTAGTGCTTGTGCTGTTTCTCCTGGGCTTGTCTCCTCCATCAGGGCTTTGGTCTTTTACTTTTGTGGGTACTGTTCATGGGGAAGAATCTCAGGTGAACACAAATCTTCAGGGTATTCAGTGCATGCAAACTGAGGCGCTGAGGCAAAGACTGTGCTCCTGACATCACCCAGGTGCCGGAAAGATTACCTGGGACCTAAGCTGGACCTAACCTGAGCTGGAGGGGTGTGTGTCTGTGAAGGGGCTTGTTTGTAGCAAGTGAAGATTTAATCTCAGGTTCCTGCTGCAGTTTCTGCTAGAAGGGCAGTCTGCGTAGGCTTAGTTTAGCTGGAGTCACACAGGGATACTGTACTGGCTCTTGAGATGAAGTCTGCTGTGTTACAAATAGAGCAGTTGTTATCTAAAAGGGTTCCATACAGAGAATGGAACAACCTGACCCTCTTTTTTTAATTGCTCCTGCTTTGGTCATTCCTTGTGGTAGAATCATGTTTACATTAATGAATGTTACCAGTGAAAATCCTTCGAAAGGGAGTTTTTAGCTCAGCTGACATGGATAAAATAAGACTGCTTAATGCATTTAGACTATAACAGTGCAGTTGCTGGAGGAGAAGGCACAGAAATGAAACCCCTTGGGACAAAATTTAAGTCCCATGTTGTGGTGAGTTGACCACCTACTTAATTTTTTAACCCAGGCTATACTAGGGCCAGATTTGTGATGGTATGAGCGTGGAGAAATGGCTATTCCCACCATTTCTCTGTCAGCACTAAAATAGTGTTTGAACATATTCCTTTATAAGAATATGATCAAGATCATGGTTGATAATGCCTGTAAAGTGATCTGAACAGATAAAACATCTGTTTTGAAAAAAGTCTACTCGAGGCACCTTCTGTTAGGTGTTAGTAACCAAGTTAAGAGATACGTACTAGTGTTGGCTTGATCTTCCTGTGCCTTTCTTGTTTTCTATACAAGCCACTCCTTCTTGCACAGTATCAAAAAGTAAATATATCTAAGAGTAGGGCCACACACCACAACCACTTCTGTGTTCTCTGCAGAGTAGCATGTGGTGGGACAGTAAATGGACATCCTTGTACTTCCTTTGGCCCTTGTGATCCGTGAAGCACAGGGTCTTTTAGGAAAATAACTTGTTATCAGTAGTAATCAAGGACTGTGCCATAACATGTACATGCAAATTATTAAATTCAAACAGGTCTAGAACTCCCCGATGTTAATTTTACAACATTTGAAAGACTTAACTTTGAATCTTAACAGTATCTTGTTAAAAGTTTTCAAAAGTAGCTTTGTGGGGGCAGTTGGAGCAAGCATGTTGTCATTTGTAGAAAGGAAATAATTCAGCTGTTATTTCACTGTTGTATACTAAGAAGTACTTAACTGAATGCTTTTGCCCTGGTTTGGGCTGGGATAGAGCTAAATTTCTTCCTGATAGCTGGCATGGTGCTGTGTTTTGGGTTTGGGACGAAAATAATGTTGATAACACACTAATGTTTTCAGTTGCGGTTAAGCTGTCAAGGACTGTCCAGCTTCCTGTGCTCTGCCCTGCCAGGGAGCAGGCATGGGGTGCACGGGGAGCTGGGAGGGGGCACAGCCGGGACAGCTGGACCCAAACTAGCCCAAGGGCTATTCCATACCATACGACATCATGCCTAATCAGTATATAAACTGAGGGAGTTGGCTGGGAAGGCACCGCGGCTCAGGAACTGTCTGGGCATTGGTCAGCAGGTGGTGAGCTGTGCACGGCTTGTTTTGTATATTCTTTTATCATTATTAGTATAATTATTTTTTTTTCTGTCTTATTAAACTGTCTTTATCTCAACCTCTGACTTTTTTTGATACTCTGCTCCATCCCACTGGGGGCAGGGTGTGAGTGAGTGGCTGCGTGGTTGTTTTAGCTACCTGCTGGTTTAAACCATTACAGTCCTTTCTGTCACCCAATGCGAGGCTTGATGGGTTGAGATAATGACAAATCTGACCAGAGTGTGTTAAAACAAATTTGTTACCAGCATTCATTGTCTTATAGTCACTGGTGACAATGTTGATTCATTTGCTCTCAAAGTTATTGTTCTCAGGGTTGGGTTATGTGACACCTGACTTGCTGTATCTGTTCCCCGTTGTGCTTTTTATCACCTCTGTGAGCTGGGTCAAGTTTATCACTGTGCTGTACTTTGTAACAGCAGCTTATGGTATGATAAAATGGCTGGTTGTGCCACTAATCTGTTTATTTGTACTCAGCATTGCCGTCATCTCTGTACTTTGGGAGCCATCTCTTGGAAACCGTTAATAATTACACTTTTTACCTTTTAGCCTCGGAGAGAAAACTTACAGGCGCGACACCTTGCTTCACCTTCCTCTTCTCCTCCAGACCAGCGACAATACCTTTTGAGAATTTTGAGTATCCTTGGGGTGTTCAGACTGGCATGTTCCCGTTGCTCTTACTCCTAAATCTGTTTCAGGTCTTCTTTAAACAATTATTTAAAAATACCACCCCGGGCACTGTGGCCACTCAAACCACTGGCAGCTGGCTACTCCAGCCCTGGTGACCGACACTGCAGATGAAACAGAGAACCACACCAACAGTTGGCCCTATATAA